AGGTAAATGTAACCGACCCCTCACAACACCCATACTTGATTCTCCTACTCTACCAAGTCCAGAGAGCCATAATGACTCAAGGTAAATAAAACCGACCCCTCACAACACCCATTCTTGACTCTCCTACTCTACCGAGTATAGAGAGCCAGTGAATGACTCAAGGTAAATGTAACCGACCCCTCACAACATCCATACTTGATTCTCCTACTTTACCAAGTATAGAGAGCCAGTGAATGACTCAAGGTAAATAAAACCGACCCCTCACCGATCCATCACAACACCCATACTTGACTCTCCTACTCTACCAAGTCTAGAGAGCCAGTGAATGACTCAAGGTAAATATAACCGACCCCTCACAACACCCATACTTGATTCTCCTACTCTACCAAGTCCAGAGAGCCATAATGACTCAAGGTAAATAAAACCGACCCCTCAAAACACCCATTCGTGACTCACCTACTCTACCGAGTATAGAGAGCCAGTGAATGACTCAAGGTAAATAAAACCGACCCCTCACCGATCCATCACAACACCCATACTTGACTCTCCTACTCTACCGATTATAGAGAGCCAGTGAATGACTCAAGGTAAATGTAACAGACCCCTCACAACATCCATACTTGATTCTCCTACTTTACCAAGTATAGAGAGCCAGTGAATGACTCAAGGTAAATATAACCGACCCCTCACAACACCCATACTTGATTCCCCTACTCTACCAAGTCCAGAGAGCCATAATGACTCAAGGTAAATAAAACCGACCCCTCTCCGATCCATCACAACACCCATACTTGACTCTCCTACTCTACCGAGTAAAGAGAGCCAGTGAATGACTCAAGGTAAATGTAACAGACCCCTCACAACATCCATACTTGATTCTCCTACTCTACCGAGTATAGAGAGCCAGTGAATGACTCAAGGTTAATGTAACCGACCCCTCACAACACCCATACTTGATTCCCCTACTCTACCAAGTCCAGAGAGCCATAATGACTCAAGGTAAATAAAACCGACCCCTCACAACACCCATACTTGAATCTCCTACTCTACCAAGTATAGAGAGCCAGTGAATGACTCAAGGTAAATATAACCGACCCCTCACAACACCCATACTTGATTCTCCTACTCTACCAAGTCTAGAGAGCCATAATGACTCCAAGTAGATAAAACTGACCCCTCATCAATGATACTTGCCACTTCTACCCTACCCAGTACAGTGAGCCAATGAAATACTTCAGTCAGTATAAGCGACCACTCACTGCCAATTCTCGTCCTACCAATCGCATCTATCCACAAAGTATATGGAACCTGTGAATGATTCTATGTAAATCAGAGGTGTGACTGATCTCTTGGTTTTCAAATGCCCATATTTATAATGAAGTCCTCAACCTTTATATATACAAATTTCTTACTAAGTGCAGGAAACACCTCAGTGACCATTTTTAGCTCACCTGGCTCGAAGGCTGGAACGACTTCTTCTGAAGAACTGTAGGACCTAGGGTCATGATATTTGGTCAGTAGGTACCTGGGATGGAGTGCTATAAAGTTTCCTCATTAAAATGACCTTGACAAACTTTCAAGGTCACAGCGGTCAAATATGTTAAAAATTTCGAACAACAATATCCTAAGAACCATTTGAACTAGTCATGATACTTGGGTATGTTATGTAGACCAGCAGTTCAATTATTTTTCTCAGTTACAGTTATGAGGTCAAAGGTCAACTTTAAATGCTAGTCGAGGGTCAAATGTCAGCTTTGGATAAAATCTTTAACAATCTCCTTCTCAAGTTCCATTAGGCCTAGGGTCATGATATTTAGCCAGTAGGTACCTGGGATGGAGTGCTATAAAGTTTCCTCATTAAAATTACATTGACCTACTTTCAAGGTCACAGGGGTCAAATATGTTAAAAACTTCAAACAACAATATCCTAAGAACCATTTGGACTAGTCATGATACTTAGGTATGTTATGTAGACCAGCTGTGTGAATTGTTTTCTTCATTACAGTAATGAGGTCAAAGGTCAACTTTAAGTGCAAATCGGGATTCAAAGGTCAATATGGGTTAAAAGCTTTAAAATTAAAATTTTAAGTTTCAAACAGCAATATCTTCAGAACCGTTTAAGAGATGTTAAAATGACTTGTGTTCTAGTTACCAAATTTGGTCGTAAGTTATCTATATGTCAGTTGCATGTAACAAAAGAAACAGGTGAGCGATACAGGCCCTCTGGGCCTCTTGTTTTATGCTTACATCCCTTCTCATGTCCCTGCATTAACAAGAACAGATAATTAGTTTATGACCTTACGAACGGTAATAGCATACATAGGGTTAAAGTTCATCATACAGGACTTCCTCACCTTAAATGCTTCCTTTTGAGTGTTTAGTAGGTCAGAACATCAAAGGACCAGGTCACCATTACTAAAAATAGAAAACCAATTTCTGCATCTTGGGTCAATAAGGGCTTCCAGGCCATAGTACTTGCTTGGTATCTCTTTTCAAGTAAAATTCAAAAGTCAAGGTCTGGTTTCAGCCTTTTTCATAATTTCATTTTTCTTATAGAAAGTATTTTAAAAAGTTAATATATGGCCTTTTTGCCTGTAAGCCCATATTCATCTTTGTTACTATGGATGAACAGTTTATTTTTATGCGCCCGTCAAATTTGACGGGAGTATTATAGTATGGCGTTGTCCGGCCGGGTTGGGTTGACTATATATAGCTGCACTGATTTTTGGGACATTTGAGTCCTGAATTCAAACTCATGCTTTTCCTTGTGGGACTTGCAAACTTTTTGAGAACACTTTTGGTTTGTTGGTGTTTTACGTCCTATTAACAGCTATGGTCATTTAAAGATGTGCCAGGTTTTGGTGGTGGAGGAAAGCCGGAGAAAAACCACCGACCTACAGCCAGTACCTGGCGACTACCCCATGTAGGTCTCAAATCCGCTACCCAGTGGTGGAGGGCTAGTGGTAGCAGAATGTCAGACACCTTAACCACTTTGCCACCATGGTTCCCTTTTTTTGAGAGTACACTTTATATCTAAATAATGGGACTCATCATAATTTTGAAAAAGGACTCCGGATTATTTATCTGAAAAACTTCTACTAAAAACACAATCATGTCGAGATAAAGTATACAAATGGCAGCAGCACAAATAAATGAATATGAAACTTCAGGAAATACATTAATCATAGCTACAGTCATTGAAAGTTGACCACTATACCATAACTGGTATATTGGATATACAAAAATTAGCTAACAAAATGTATTTAAAATTTCACTAAAGTCACCAAAATAAACAATAGAATGCTGATTATCCAAAGCAAGATAATTTGAACTTTGAACTTTGAATTATGATTCTCTCCCCTCCACTCCTCTCTCTGTTGTCCAGTTATCTAAAATGACCATTTATCTGAATGACCATTTGTTCGAATCATTTAATATTTCTCCTGTTGAAACTGCTTTCTACTATAATAATCGTTACGTATACATATAATTGGTCGAGGTTTACCTTGAGTCTGTTATAGCTAGACCCATGTAGTAGAGAATTGCTTCATAATTGCCAGATGGAGCAGAAGCCTTCTTTATTGGAAATTTTTAAAACAATTTCACCTGCACCTCTGTTGAATTTGATTTTCAAATTTGTTTGATGAAAGGAAGCATGTAGTTTATGTTCATGTATTTAATCAAGGAAATATTTTTATTTATAATCAACAACAGTGTATCAATAAATATCATCAAATAGACTGTTAACTAATTCACCCCTGAAGACACATTTGAACTCTTCCAATACAAAAGTTGGAATACAGATGTAGTTCATTATAGAATTTCAGGGGTGATGCTAACCCTGGTGTTTGGCAAGCACTGATGATTGGTTGGGAAGCTATCTGTGCTAAAAACACTCCATTACACAGCATTAATTAAGTACATAAGCTTGGTATCATTCGACGCTGATTTCACACTAATCCTATCACACCGATATTCATTATGGGATAATTAAGCCTGCTGTCATTCATTTGGTACTAAATATTCAATTCTTCTCTCATACAACTATCCAGACATGTTCAAGTAATACCAAGCTTTGTTAGTCTAGCAATACTTTGATATGAAATTGATATCTGACACTTTCAGTATCATTGAAATTGAAACTAAAGCATATACATTGATGAATAATTTCACCAGCCAAATATATTTAGGTCTAGAAGTCTTCTGTTAGTGCTTGTGAAAACTTTCCATATTTACTATGAAAGGATTAGTCAAACTAGTGAACATTTATAAAACCACTTGCAGTCTAGTAGTATAAGTATGAATTGTACACTACCGTCACTGGATTTAACATAAACATTGCCAGGTAAAAGATATATTAAGGTTTACTGAAATGCAAGTTTTAAGTGTATGGGAAAATAATTTGAAATTGTTCCTTATTGCGTTACAGAGCTGGTGAAAAATGATGTGATTGAGTTCAGATAAGAAGATAAAGGACTTAACATTGAAAACCTATAATGGATCACGCATGCAATCAGCTTGTTATTGTCTGTAGTGGGTTGGACCCGATACACGTCACATTCTGTATATAATATACAGTAGAGATGTAAATAAATGTGACCGGTCCTGCTTACCAAAACATCTGAAAATACGATATTTAATTTGAAATGTGGTCGTTATATTCTGCAACAAGATATTTCAGCACAAGTTGCACGTCTTCCTTGTCTTCTTCTAGAATGTTGTGTCCTGTATGAGTGTTTTTTTGGTGTTTTTTTTTCTTGGTGGGGGTTGTTGTTTATATATTTATCAATATGATAGGCATTGTCGTTACGGTAATTGATTTCGGTGACATTTAGAAAAAGTCTATGAAATTCCACAGGAGCTCCCCACACTTGACCAGGAAGCTGTCGATCTTGATCGAGGAGGACGACACGACTTCTGAGGCTGAGGTCCCAAGATCACCTCTACATGCTCCATGTGGCTTGACCAACGGTCAACTCAGGGACAGTCCACAAAAGAGACACAAGCGAGTGGACCCGACACAAGGCAATAAAAGGTTAGTACTTAATACCCTGGATTGTTGAATGTCAAGGACAGTCTAAAATATTCGTCTTTTTTTCCCCTGTTTTGCTGTTTCTTTGTTCTATTCTTTATTTTTGGCAGTGTCTTCCTAGGCACTTCAAGCTGGTCAGTGGTCAGAATAATATGTGACCAGGCTGAGTGTATTGCTGCCATGTCCAGATTCTGACCATTTCATTGGGATAGCACTAAAAACCGATTTAACCCCTAAATACCAAGAAACCGCAGCATTTTCAACATAAGATTAACTTGTTCTACAACATTTTGTACATTTGTTTTGTAGAAGAACTACTAGGGTGGATTGTGAATTCAGGTATTTTCAGAAAATGTATTCCTGCGAATCTCGGCAATATTATACTGTATACCAATTAGGAAACCCTTGCCCAGTCCCACTTTCACCTTTTATTAAACAAAATCCAATTACCCATCAGTGTTAATTTTGCCCTTTAAATGTAATGAATATGTACAGTATGGTGTGTACAGTGTATTTATATTTGCTATCCTGATTACTTCGGGCAAAAAAAGGTGCAGGGATAATCCTGGAGGGGGCCATTGTCCCCTCAAAACTGAAATTGACCTCTCGATGTTCCAATTTTCTTTTAATTTTACATATGGCCCCTCTTAACTTTGATATTGACTAAAAAGTGATGAAATGGCCCACAATTTTCAAATTCCAAGATTTCCCCTGAAATTGAAAGTTGAACTGCCGTAAAAATTTCCCAGTGTAGAGTATATACCATTATTAATATAATGAATTAATTTTCTCAGGAAAAATTTGTATTAAGTCCATTGCAAGAAGTAGCATTAATGTTTTAATTTATACAATATGCTATTTGCTTTGTTTAGGGTGAAAACAAAACGGGTATGTGTGTCAGAAGGAGGGCTGTGTGGGAGTCCAACCAAGGTCCATCCAACCGTAGCCATAGTGCACCACAACAGTCCATCTCAGGTAAGTTACCACCCAAAGTGCACTATCAACTTAGATAAGTATAACTACCCATAATGCACTACAGCAGTCAAACGGAGATAAGTAAATGCCCAAAGTGCACCATAGCAGTCCAAAAGTATGTCACAGCCCAAAGTGCACCATAGCAGTCCAAAAGAAAGTCACATTCCATAATGCATCAAAGCAGTCCAATTTTTTGTAAGTCACTTTCTATAGTGCACAATAGCAGTTCGACTCCTGTAATTCATATTCCATAGTGCACCATAACAGTCCAAAAGTAAGTCACATTCCATAGTGCACCATAGCAGTCCAAAAGTAATGGAGGCTCTCACCCTTACGTCGACTAACATAATCGTTCCATTTTGGCTTTAAATTCTTGGGGAATTTTACCCCCAATCTCTTAAATAGATTATTACTTCACTTTATCTGTAGCAGTTTTCTCGTGGTAAATTTAACAGATATATTCTCTGGGGTGGCTATGAGTCTAGTCACTTCTCTGGATTCCTCCAGAGTCTAGTGACTACTCTTGCCTTCTTCGGAGTCTAGCGTTTCCAATTCATAGTCTTTTATAGCTTCTCCATGGATATTAGGAGTCTAGTCGCTTCTCTGGAGTCTTTCAGAGTCTAGCTGCTTCTCTTGTTTTCTTTGGAGTCTAGCTCGCATTCTTTATCAAGCTTCTCTGTGACTTCGCAGAGTATAGCTTCCTTTAAAATCTTTTGAAAAGAATTTGTTACTATTAGTAGGTTTGTTATAGAGTGAGTAGCCCCTGATACGCCAAATATTTGCAGTAGGTTTTAGTACTTGTTCTTTGCTTGCACATACAAATCTGTGTCTTAACTCAAATAAAAAACAGGCTAACTCTTTCATTGTGTGAAATTATTTATAAATGACATGTTAAACAATATCATCATGAAGATTTGTATCATTTGGACACATCTTATGGAATTTTGATAGAATTTTCCCCATAGAAAATAGCACTTGAATCACTTCAGCTATGAGGATTAAACTGAAGCTTTAGTGTTGCCTGTTCAAGATTGCAAAGGGGAATAACTCGTCCTTTGTTCCATCTATAGGAACAAATTGATTTGTAATAATCAGATGAGAGCAGACAGGCTAATGGAATTCCTCATTGGAACGGCAATCCATATCCTTGATCTGTGCCCGTCTTGATCAAGCTAAGTGTTGCTGTCAGAAGAGATTCTTTATTAAATGGAGCTTTCAGGACTGACTTTCATTTTAATGTCACATAGACTGTGTGTAACAAAATCAGTGTCTTGGAAGCAGAGGGTATTATGTTATGCTGTATGTCCGTCTGTCAGTCTGTTAACTTTCTTGTGAGTACAACTTGTCGCATTTTTCTACCGAATGTTATGATTATTTTTGTCACAGGTTTCACATAAAGACCAACATCGTAAAACAGGTATTCTCTGCCAATTTCTACAAGAGCTATGGCCATTTGCAACAAAGACTGTTTTCCCCTTTGGCAGTACACTTTCTTTTGAGCACAACTCATGTCCCATAGTTTTTCACCCTAGTTTATAACTCTCCACACAAAGTGGTATGGATTGCTCTCTGGGTAATTCTCAAACAACATTCCATTCCTGTGGCAGTGAATACATCTATAGCATGCACCAACATAAATATTTCATAACATTTGTAATCATTCCACGTCTCATTAAACTACACATATGCATGTTTCTACAGACATGCATTCCCCTTCCTGTTTCACATTCCTATGTTCACCAATGTTTTTCTGGTTTATGATTATGCTCCAGTTCAGGTGCTCTTGTTTTTTTAGGTCACCTGAGCTTTGCTCAAGTGACCTATTCTGATCGATTTCCGTCCGTCGTCGACCATCGTGCGTTAACTTTTTACATTTTCGATTTTTTCTCAAGAACCAGTGAATTGAATTTTTCCAAACTTGGTCAAAATCATCCTTGGTAGATGAGGCTACAAATTGTAAAATTGGGATACCTACCCCAACCCCAGGGGCCTGGGCGGGGCCCCAAAGGAAAATTAACCAATATTTCAAAAATCTTCTTCTCCAGACCCAAAGGTACTACAGACAATTTCTCTGCATGGATGGAAAGATCATCAGCGGCTTTTATTTAAATTGTAAATTTCAGTAACCCCGGGCCATCCGTTCTCCCTTGGGGAGGGGGTAAAGTTTACTATAGTTTATATAGGGAAATAACACTTTTGGCTATATTTTGTTCATTATTAGTAGGAAACTATTCTTACTTGGTGAAAATCACCTTGGAGAAAGTTGGTATCAAATTGTAAAATTGGGATTGCTGCTACAACCCAAGGGGCCAGGGCGGGGCCCCAAAGGGAAAATTAACCAATATTTCAAAAGTCTTCTTCTCCAGATTCAGAGGTACTACAGTCAATTCTCTGCATGTATAAAAAAGATCATCAGGGGCTTTATTTAAATTGTAAATTTCAGTATTCCCGGGCCATCTGTTCTCCTTTGGGGACGGGGTAAAATTTACTATAGTTGATATTCAGGAATAACACTTTTGGGTATATTTTGTCCATTTTCAGCAGGAAATTATTCAAACTTTGTTGGAATGATTATGATGCCAGATGACAATTAGATGGTATGAGAAAATAAGATCCTGCCCCATCCCCAGGGGCTGGAGGGGTGGGGCCCAAATAGGGATTATGGTTAAAAGCTAAAAAAAATCTTCATCAGACTCAGTTACCTTAATTACCTTAATTGTAAATTTCATTATCCCCCATGTCATCTGATCTCGAGAGAGGATTTAATTTTTAATAGCGAAATATTTTTTTGAATAGGTTTTAAAGTTCTTATCCTTTAGTGACATGACAAGTATTGTATTTCACTTTGTTTACATGTTGTTTCCCACATTTTGTACATCTCAACAATGAAATTGAGCTACTAGTACCTATAATATAACTCAGGTGACCGCTAAGGCCCTTGGGCCTCTTGTTTTAATTGTTAACGATATCAGTTCTTCATTTAAAGTAAGACCTCAATATGATGCCCCTCGCTTCCTTTGCTATCTCACTTACTGTCAATATATTTCATGGTCTTTTTCCTAAGAATTCCTTTCTACATTTCCCTCAATCTATCGTCAAACTTCTTTATAATGTCCCAACTTCTTGACAAATGGTGGCAGTATAAAGTTTTTTTTCTGTATATCCAAAAGTAAAAATACAAATATATTTTGTCACATTCAATTTTATTTTTTAAATTGAAATACAAATATCAGGCAAATGTATGTATACATAGATCCTGGATACAGATGTTTCATATCTATGTTTTAAGTTTTATAATTAAATATGTCTCATGCCTTGCGTGACAGAGTAGACAGTTGCCTTGAGTAAGTAGTGCATTTGTAACATGAACTCCATATCTGTCTCCAGAGTGGTGACAGTTTTAACTGATCAGATGTCAAAATTGAATAAAAGTAATGATTAAAATGAAAAACTGCAAGCTCTTTATGGTTTATCATTGTCATAATGTAAGCTATTACAAATTACATATTGAAAAATGACATTTTACTACATGTACCACAGTACGTATGAAGTAACATCCATTATCAGTAATATTTTCCAGAATAACAATGTGTAAAGATCAGGTGATTCAGTTATCTTATCTGGCTTAAAGTGCTTGTGTCCTTTGTCTGTCATAAAAAAAAAATCATCAAACAACTTCTTAAAAAACGCTACCATTGGTTATAAAATTATGATATTTGACATGTAATATGCTGGAGTGAATAGCAATCTGAAAATTACCTTCACTTACATTCATGGTCAGTAGTTTCAAATCGTTAAAAATTTTAAATGACTTATTCTAAATGTTCATTTGGCCATGGTAGAATTTTGCTTCAAAAGTGTTTAAATAAATTACAACTTGTAACATTCAAGGTCTCAGGGGTAAAATGTGTTATAAACGATGAGGCCTGGCGGTAATGATATTGATTTTTAGTTTGTTCAATGGGATGAGGGGCTGTGATGTGTATTTTAATTACGAGACATATATATATTATCAAAATCTTCCATGCTGCTTAATAGGAAGATGGCCTTCAACTTTTTCCAACATATTGTTAATCTTGATTTACATTCAATATTTAGAGATTGAATGTGCTTTAAAATTCAAAAAACTTCTTCTAAAGAACTACAATGCCTAGAATATTGATATATGGGCTTAGTAAATTCACTGGATCATGGGTTCGAGACCTACGTTGGGCAGGTACTCGGGTGTAAGTCAGTGTTTTTTATCTGGGAACTCCAGCTTTCCTCCACCTCCAAAACCTGGCACAACCATAGTTGTTAATAGGACGTAAAACACAAACAAACCGAAATTCAATTCAAGGGTTCCATCTGAAATACTTTGGAACAAACAACATATGCTACCATTTGTCCAGCCTCGTTAAAGCAGTTTTAAAAGGAAAATGGGACCTCGAAATACTGTGGTGTTAAGTGAAGCAACAGCATTGTATCGGGGTATAAAGAAATTTCATCGTAATGTAGAATAATCTCCATTGAGTACGGACATCTGCTGGGATCTGTCACACCTCATCATCCCTCAACTTGTTTGTGTTGGGTCAGATTGAACTCAGACCTAGACCAATTAGGAGCCAGACTCAAGTTTTTGTTGACTTTGATGGACAGGCAATAATTCAGGCAAAAAACGATGGTGACTGTCAGCATCTAAAAACTATGGACCAAGACTTGTGAACTATTGGACATTTAACACTTGGAAAATGAGAAATATATTTGAACATTTCACAAGCTTATTATATCCTGTAAATTGCACTGTACGGGTATTGAAGTTTATCAACCCAGCCTACAAGCCAGCTGATGTAATCTGTCCATCAGCAGGGGAGATAATGAGCTTTATAATCATAGCAGTATAAACATACCAAGCAGCATTATCCCACCTCTGTATATAGACTATTAGTAAACTGTTACGGAACTACGATGTCTGTAGATCAACCAGCTTTTACTTATAGCTTTCTCATGTGAAGGTTCAATTTCAGTGTTAAATTGAAAAAAACTTTTTTAAGCTCAAGGGTATAGATTGAGGTTTGATCAAAGCCCTGGAGTGATAAAAAAAGGCTATACCCAGGCACCAAGAATCCAATGGAATTTTAAAGGTGGAACATTTTACTAAAATATTTCATACAATAATGAACATGAATGTGACACATTTTATGATTCAATCAACTAAGCTTCAATGATTCATCCTCGATGGGCAAGGGGAGGTAACACCTATATATTGCATAAAGCTTTTGGGAACTTGAGTGTATTTCATTAGAAAGAGGCTTTCTTACTATTATAAAAACCAATCTGGTCAGCAAATCTGAAATAAATAAGAGAATTCTGTGATAAAGGCTCTGTTTGACTTTTTGTTTTTACCTTATTCACCCCTAAAAATTCATAATGGACCATTTCCCCGTTTGAATTGGTAGAGTTCAAATGTATCTTCGGGAGTGAATGAGTTAAAGGGGATATCATTATTTGGACAAGATGTGTAATCAGACAGTGAAGATATGATGTACGCCTATCAGGGCCCTAAGTAGTGTGCTATAGTACAAGTGCATAAGGAAATTTGACATGAAAAGAAAGCATATTAAGACCATGTATCAATGTGTGCCAGATACAATGTTATTTTCAAAACCTTCGTTTTAAACTAGGCGTTGAAAAAAACTTTGTTTTAAACTATATGAAGAAAAAGGAGGGATGCTAACTGCTTTACTTGGAAAGGAACCTTGTTTTAGACTTGAAGGATGCTCCTGCTGCTAGCATCCTATCCCTAATCCAATCAGTCATCTATACGCTATTTAAAAAAACACCAGATCCTATCTTTGTAGTTTTTCCAATTACTGGAAGTAAACAAATTAGATCAGGGAAACAGAGTTCCATTGGATTTAGTTCACAGAGATATCTCAAATGTGATTGGACAGAACTTGGAGGCTGAGTTGATGTGTAGTATTACATAATACCAGGATGTGTAATGCTGCTGGAATTGGTGTTCTGTCTATGTACATATATTCCCCTTATCTTTGATATATGAGATATATGGGCTCTGCTGAACTCTAAAGTAATACTCCCGGATCTCCTCCCTGGCTGGAATTACCGCCTGCTTTACCAGGAATTATTACAAAGAATTGATGATAAAATTCAGTTCTCGATGTCAATGAGTCACGACTAATGTAATGTTGTACAGTGAAACCTGTCTAAAGTAACCACCTTCATATGGAACTCCTTGTTTAATACAACCAAGCTAGGATTGAGGAAAATAATTTTAATTTCAATTGTTCTTGATTTTCGTACATAACAATTATTCTTTGTGAAGAATATTACAGATATATATTCCTGCTATGACTGCTGATCAAAGACATATGAGAATTGAGAAATTTCAAGTGTGCTTCTCTTTGAGCCCTATAATTGACATCTCTGTAGTTTATGTAAATAGTTAGTGATAATAAGGAACATGCATGTAAAAAGATTATGACACAATTATAAATATTAGTTCAAATAAAGAAAAATAGTAAAAATGTAGATGTTAAATAACCTGAATAGATATTTAAGACATTTTCCTAAATCAGAAATCTTCTTACCTTGAATTTGTTTCAGTTTATGATTTTTCTAAAATATGTCTTTTTGTAAAATTTTGGGGGATATAAATGTAGTTTTTCACTTGTATCCTCTAGTGATTATGCAGTTTTATATGAATATGAAACAAGAGACAAATTATGTTGATATTTGCTTTCAATATTTGATCTGATCACTAATATTGTATTGAATTTCATAGCAATATATTCCTTCAATCAATTCAAAAACAAGGAAAAGGAAAAGGAAAAGAAAAATTAAATCATCTTTTTCTCTAACGCTCTATGCTGTTTTGTGTGTCTGATCTGTCTCATAACTCAAGTGCTGAATGGTTGAGTGAATTAATGAAGGTATATTGAGACATCTCTGTTTGATTTCTAAAACAGAAATAGATATTCTGGGGCACTTGTTTGCGAAATTTTTATACGAAAACTTCCAGGTTATGTTTATCTTTGGTACACATGTTAAAGCTGTAAGCATGGCCTCGTCATTAGTTAAGATTTAACTTTGAGGGTAAATGGCAGTGTAGCATTCATCACTGAGCTGTCCTCCCACTACCAGGCCATCAGACATTAAATCTGCATCCAATTACCTGACGATTTACTACAGCCTGTAATGTTGGCTCACCCTGTACACGAGTGCCCTATGGCAGGCCCATCATGATTCACTCAGGTGTAGCTGAGGTACTAATCTACCTTTATACAGCCCTATACAGATTTATGGTTTGTTTCCTTCAAATACTGTCGGTTGAGATATCACTAGTTTGAAATAAAAAAAAATAGAAATTGTATAAAAATAGTCTATAAAATAAAAACATTTAATTTAATTGATGATGTAATTTGTTTTTGGTATCACAGTGCTGGATTTGTTAGCTTAACAGAATGAGGAAAATTTACAGGTGAAACACTTACATAAATGAGTGTTAAAGCTGACAATGCTTTATTTACCTGGGATTTAGATACCTGTGTAATTATAGAAATGCATAAAATCTGTCCAAGTTCCCCCTCCCCATTTCCTTTCCAACCCCTTAGAACCAAACTGTCCTATTAAGACCTCTTGATTGATTCACCCAGACAGCCCCATATTCCCCATCTTCAATGCCCTTGTCCAAACTACTTGACCCCTTGACCCCTGCCCCCAAAATTCAGCCCCTATAGCATAGACATAGATATGCCTGTCAAAAAGTTTAGAGATTCATTCTGTACTGGCACACACATAAACTTTCTGGCATGTATATATACTAAGCTGTACAGTCTGGTACATCTCAATACACTGTGCAGTAGGGGGAAGTGAGGTCCTTGTTAAACTAGTGTTGGCAATGAACTGGAACCAACAGGGTCTACTTGTTCTACTTTCTGTTTACCATTGAGAGTCATCAGTGTGTGTCTGATACACACAACCTAAACTCTGACTGTACATGTACAGTTTGTCTGGTGGGTTAACCAAAACTCTCTTGGTGTGAGGTATATATACCCATGTATACAGCGAAAGTTTTTTATCTTTACTGCTCGAAATGTTTGTATGATAGTGTGTAGATTAATGATACGGAATATTGTAGAATTAAAATTCTGTCTATGAAGACTCGTGCAGCTGGATGCACAACCGAGATAATTAGCATGACATAATTACCACGGAAGCTATAATGTCAATAAGTGGAATGATGTGTGCCAGTTGGATTTTCTTTGTGGAGGATTTGGGTCTGTTACACACTGCTGTTATTACTAATGTGCTGTTGTTCTGATTCTCAACATTTCCAGTCTTTTCCCCAGCAAGTTATAAATTGGCTGACAGTGTGTGTGTAGCACGTTTTGTGATTGATCTTCATACAACTTCATTGCTCTGTTTTTGTAGGGAAGCTCCAGTAATCAGCGACTCAAACTTTCACTAGTCTCTCCAGAGAGGGAAGTCTGCTGGCAGGATAAGGAGAAAGGTAATGTTATCATTTACAGTCAATGAGGCCAAAAACAGATTTATGTGTGTTTCAGGTAACATGACTGAAAAAATAGTAGGTCAATTGGGGTTATTTTAATTCTATTTCATTTATTTTCATTTCTTTTTGAGGGCTAATTTAAGAAATTACAAAATTCACCAAACATATCTTTAGGTCTTTTAAATAATAATGTTGGATTTGAATTTGGTTTTGATACCTATATAGTTGCCTTGTTTGTTTGTTTGTCCATCGATTTGTTTGCATCTGATGGACAAGTTATCCAAACACTGGATGTAGTGAATTTGAGAAAGATAAAATTGTTCGGGTCGGAGGTAGAAAGTAGAGTTGGTCTGGGTACCTGAAACATAAATACTTTAGTTTTTGGCCTGAGCAACTTTCAACGACAAAGCTATGGAACTTGTTCGTATTCATTATTAATTATTTTTTTAAGGAAGTACATGTTATTTAAGTTTATGAAGTTTTCCTCCATGTGCAGTGTATAGATATTTACTACTTAATGGAAATTGGTTTCTTCTTTCTTTATGAAGATATTTATAAATTCTCAATCTTTTATCACCCAGAGAGTGCTGCATTAATATTCATTATGCAACAGTAAAAAATGTTTCCATCACTTAGTTACTGTAATAGTCCGTAAGAACTGCACCCATGTCATATTTTTGACGTATCACCTTATGTAATACCGCCCATGCATTGGGACATCAGCATTATGACAATAATGGGATGTTTTTGATTACCAGATGTTTATAGTTAAGATACTTACTATAAAAACTTGTTATCAGAAAAAACACGAATACTTCCATACATTCTTATGATAAAGAGGATCTTGAATTTATTTATATTTATAGAAGCTTTTTTCTGTACAAATTTTTCCTGTAATTTAGCAGTCTCAAAAGCTTGTCAGTTTTGCTGGGAATGGATCCCGGAGTTGGCTAGAGTTTTGATAGACCGACTACCATAAAGTTTTTGAAGAGAAAAAAAAATCCTGCTGCTTTTTCCCACTAGGTTGTCTCCCCCTAGTTTGAAACTTAGACCATTCGGACATCCAAGTGATCAAATTAATTACAGTCTAAAAAAAAATCTGAATGACAGGGGCCAATCTAGGCCTGTTGAAGTTGCACTGTATACAGAGTTTGAATTAGAGGTGGCTGTGAAACCTATCAACATCAAAGTGCAGTGAATATCCTTGTGTATAGTACATATGTACCAGGCAATACCAAGTATATCCAAATTACTACCTTGTTTATGTGGTTAGTAGAGCATATGTATAATGATGTAACAGGAGTGTATAATGCCTGGTTAGGAATCTATTAGGAATGATGGGGTTGTCGAAGTATGACATTGAGGAACAGTCAATCAGAAGGGTTGGGGTAGGGTACTAGACCAGAATCTTTATGCAAATGGTTTTGTTATGACTACTTGGAAATTCTGCCAGAGGCTTTATCCAGATTATATGGAATTTAAATTTAACTATTCATTACATATCAATTTTTCAGTTTTTAACCAATGGAACACATTCCTTAATAAACTCACAGAGAGATAGCAAGTTTGTGTATGCTGTAATTCGTAAGGGAGACTTCTGTTTGTCGGTGTGGAACTATCTTATTTCTACATCTCACATGGAAAATGTCTGGTGTCAGTTTTAAATGTTTCAAAAATGTTTAAACCTAGTAATTTATGAAGCATACTTCACAGTTATTGATTTAGTAGCAATTGTATTTCACTTACAATAGACACTTCAGCCCAGTGACAAGGTTTGAAGTGTTGCTGAGCTTTCCATGTCTATGATTGATGAGCAACAAGAAGGGAGAAGTAAATTCTGATTGCTATGGATTAGAAAAAAATATTTGGCTGCATTTCCTGAAGGTTAAGAAACCTGTGGCTATCTTAAATAAACTGGAAGTAGGCTTTTCCTATCTATATAAGCCTTTTGGAATGTTTGTTCAACTTCAGGTTTTATCTCAAAGTGCAGTCATTTCATGGTTAATTACATTTTATAGGAAAAACACCTTTTTTTTAGAACATAAACATGATATTTTAGAAATGATTTCCTATGTTCAGTGTAAAAATGTATGGAGAAAGAAGTTGATGTAATTTTAGAAGGACTCAGAATATTTATTTAGTCAATACACAGTGAGAGTTCCATTCTTTATACAGTTGTGACAGTTTTCAAGTGCACATAGCATTAGGGTTGCCTTCTAGATGCGCACTAGAGGGAATTTCCCTTTAGTTCAGTGGTAAGGTGTCCAACAAGCCATCCTCACTGGGGTTGTGGGTTTGATCTCAGTAGAAGCTACCACACTACTTGCTTTTCTGTTACAAATGGTGTCCGTGGCTGTCCGTGGCCCTCCCTGGGGTGACAATGAGTTAGACCCTGGATTGTTGTGGTGTTTGAGGGTGAACACATTTAAGGGGAGAAGTGTCCCTCAGTGGGCACACAACTATCTTTCCTGTTACACAGCACAGCATTCATATCGTGCTGGTTTTGAACTTTTAATATTGAAAACAAAACTGTTTTTAGGTGCCTTTGCCTGATCTGTCACCTGCAAAGGCAACAGTTAGGGATGACTTTGTCCATTATTATGCAACTTGGTTCTCAGAGTTCAGGTTTCTTTCAAGACAAACTTGTAAAGGACAGTTATGATATTTTGATGAATCTTTCTCTGTATCTTTCCTATCTAAAAGTCCCTCACTCAGTTTTGATGCTTTGCCAAATTTGTGCATGTCTAATACATCTACTGTAATATGATCGGTTGATGGTTACTGGATGATGCTCTTTAAGGAAATATCAGATTTCGATAAAACTTGAAACTTAAATGATACTTTCTTTCGACCAGATTAATGCATATTTAATATGGTTGGGATATGAACAATAATATAACAGCGACTCCATTGAATTTTCATTTCTGCTTTGCGGATTAATTGCAAGCAGCCATCACTCCTTTGCACACATGACACGTCCACTTATGAGGAACTCTGGTAAACATAATTGTAACATTCGTCAAATGGCAAACTTATGTTTAAAAATGTCTGTAAAATCTATGTATCTATTATAGAGTTGTTTTATATTGCCTTCATTCATATAAATGTTATTAATTTCAATCCTAGTCGGCTGTCTATGACCTCTGGGTTTGTCTCGTCTCAGATGTGCAAGTATATTGAGAAGCAGTAACTTCAGTTTTCTGGGCCGCAGTGCCCAGGTGGTTAATGCGTCTGACATTCTGCTACCACTAGCCCTCCACTACTTGGTCGCAGGTTTAAGACCTAACCTACGTGGGCAGTCGCCAGGTACTGGCTGTATGTCGTTGGTTTTTCTCCTGGAACTCTGACTTTCCTCCACCACAGAAACCTGGCACGTCCTTAAATGACCCTAGCTGTTAATAGGACTTAAAACACAAACAAACCAAACCAAACTGAAGCAATATCAAATGGCTGTAATTTTTTGGTAGTATTGTCAATATTGGGGTTGAACCCTCCTTAAAGGTTTTCCATTTACAAATGTCTACCAGCAACTTACATATCTATATTAGTTTGCAAAGTCACATTCTCCTACTTGCAACTCTCTTTCATCTACTCGCAACTGACTAAATTGCCTATTTACAGCTCGACTCTTGACAAAAATTAACTCCAAAAAAACAAAAGAAGGAAAGATACTTGATTATGATCTCAAAAACCAATGACTTCGTTTTATTCTGCGATCACTAGTGCTACTGATTTTGTCAGTAATCGAGACTATTTCTATGTTAAAAAAAACAACTGAGGGTGATGTATTATGGAGACACCAGTGCCATATATCTACACCAGAAATAACAGCAGCCACTTTTGTTTATTAGTTTGTTTAGCCTGTAGGTGATACTGTGCTGGTAGATATGTAGGTTTGTTTAAAAGTCTGTAGATAAACACCCTGGTCAGTTTGTGGTCAGGTGCTGAGAACAGACATGGACCATTCACCGCAACCCGAAGGTGGTTATCTTACTGGTGAAAGTGCTCCTACCGGACAATGGTGTCCACATGTTGAGAAGTTTGAACAACACTCTAATGATGTTTACTTTCCCTCAGACTGGGCCAGTTCTTCACTCAGGTGTATGAACTAAGTTTCACTAGCTTATGAAACATTTTAGTAAAACTTGTATTTGTGATATTTTTACGAATATTAATTTCTAAAATATTTAAGTATATTGTCCTCTGGGACTCAGAAAGATCTTGGTGAGGACAATTAGGATAAAATCTTGTTTGTTTATAATTGGGATGAAAACGTCAAATTGGAATATTTGACTTAATTTGTCAGTAAGCTGACACAGTGAATGCAACTAGATTAGACTGGTAAAGTCAAAGAACTTACCCAAGCTGCTCATGTTTACATTAACATCGCAACACATCTATAACTGATCAGAATGTGTTTGGCAGCCATATGTTAAATAAATCCCCCCAGAATGTTGTAAAAAATATTTAATGTAAATGTTATATAACATTTCGACCATTGTTTAACATTTTTTTTTTTTTTCGCTTTGAGTTTGAGGGCATTTTTCCTGGTATAAAAATTCATAAAGGTCAGAAACTGGTACACATAATTTTCATCTCCCAGTTCCAGCATTTTTGATCATGATATCCAGGGTGGGTTTAATGTGATATGTTTTATCACAACACCCAGGAATAGGGAAATGAGTCTTCTGGAGAAAAGGTTTCTGGTGTTCTGCTGTTTGTGAAAATGAGTAAAAATTAATATTTTACATGGTGACAGGCGGATGTGGTCAAGTAGATAGCACAATGGCCTTTCATGCAGACATGCATACAGCCGGGGTTTGAACACTTCCCACCCTCCACACCACCATCCCTCCCCTAAAGTTGTAGCATGAAATACTCAGTGAAGTGTTATTCTCCTGTCCACACAACTCCAACAACCCAATTTGAGTATAAAATGGGCTGGGGTGAGTGTTGCAGTGTCTGTGCTGTAGCATTCAAGTAAGGTAGCACTATAAAAC